GTGCTGATTTCAGTTGCGCTAAACTGCTTGTGCAGCTCGTTTTATTTTGCACATGACAAGCTTCAAACCTGGGCTGTGTTGGTCTGTGCTAGGATTGGCAATTTGGACAATCCTCTGAAATAAAACCATCTTCCTTTCAGCTTATTCTAGACGGTTCTTTGTTTTAGCATGAAAACCTCAAGATTCCCTTTCAGAACAGCATTTCTCCTGTATGGTGCCCAGTTGTAGTTTAAATATAAATATAGTAAACATCCTCTGCTTTTTATTATAAATCTTAATTTGTTTTATGAAATTATAAATAAAAATGGAATTTTATATTTGTCTCATATTTTTACCGTTACAAACACAAGCTTATGTCGAAGCAATTTCCTGTTTTGCTAGAGAGCAACAGTGATGCTACAAATGGCAAAACAGCAATAAAGTTGTTTTTAAAGAAAGCGTGGTAAGCTAGGAGAATGAGTCTCCGGGCTTCGTTAGGTTAGTTTCCACATAATGATCAAATGTAAAAGTTTCTCCCATTCATGAACTGCGTTTAAAATATCAACAATAACCGTTCATTTGCATTATGGACAATAACAAGCATAAAAATGGCATAACGTTTGAAAATGCCTTTCCATCCTGCAACTGGCTTTGTTAAACTGAGTGCGGTCAGGCTCTTTGCAGCCTGATTTCCACACCAGCTCCGTCCTCCCGAGCGGACTTACATTGTCAGTCAAAGATTTCTGATGGCTTCTTTTCCCCATCTAGCTCGTAATACTCCAAACCCCTTTTTGGGAGAGAGGAGGAATGATTACAATACACTTCTGTGTTTTTCTGACATTGGATTTAAAATAGCTGTTTTTGTTTCATATAGACATAAAAGAGGTACAGCCTCCCATCACCCTACATGTGTGGGCTATGGGTGCAATAGGTTGTTACAAATGGGTGCTATAAATGAGGGCAGTATTATTATTATATACACAACAACGTGAAATCACAGTTGCCAGTTCTTTAGCTGGTGTTGGCCTTCATTCGCATCACGTTTTCCCCAAGAATCTAGGAGGTCATCATTTATTATTACTACTACTACTACTACTACTACTACTACTACTACTACTACTACTGTCTTCTCCCCTAGAATCACTACAGGTTTGCACCAAGAATAACTTTTTGATGATACCAAAAGTCTATTCTTTAACACAGTGTTTCTCAACCTTGGCAGCTTGAAGATGTGTGGACTTCAACTCCCAGAATTCCCCAGCCAGCATGCTGGCT